TAGACCCATTCCCATTTGGATCCAATGGATTGAAACCTATGATAGATATACAAAAGTTCTTCCTGATCCTCATATTATTTTAATCTTTCACAAATCTAGCAGCTGTTTGACAAAAGCCCCCCAGTATTTCCCCTATGCAGCAATTTACAGCTCTCAAAGATATTCACTGTTTGATTTTCAGTTTGATCACCCAGTTGAATACACTGAATTTCATAGATAAATTTGTGAAATGAATCACAAGTTTCCCAAGCAAAATTGGCCAGAGCTCCAAGATGAAGTTTCATGGGTAAATTATCCTTCAGAATACAATTACCAGCTCAAACTTGATAAAAAGATTTATGAAACCCGTCTTGATGGTGCTTGGACAGAACCTCTTTCTGATACTACCAGATTTGAACTTGACCATGCAAGACCAGTAGAATGGAATCTTTACTGAAAACCTCCTAAAGTTTTATCACAAATGGAATAGCAAGATTCTCAAGACCCACTTGATGATTTTGATCCAGATCAATGGTTAGAAAATATCGGACTATGATTTCACACCAGGCGCAGACAACTCACACCTTAACCTCTCTCCAGAACACACTCATCGTTCTCTAAAATGATGACACTCATGGTGCTACAAGACAGAAGATTCCCTGTTCCAATCCAATACTGTATAATTACGCGTGATATTTTCAGTTTTCTCCAAAAGACTCCAAAGAGTTTATTATGATGCCTCAACATCAAGATAACTTTATGTCAAGTCTTCATCAACTTTATGTCTTAGTCAAGTCATAATGAGTCATTGTACTTTAGTATGAGTCATAGTGATGAGTCACTATACCATAAGTGATGAGTCATCGTACCATAATAATGAGTCATTGTACCATAGTTATGAGTCACCGTCTTTTAGCTTTACCTTAAGCCACTTGTAAAGTTATTTTATCCTAGTCTTGTCCTATTAGGTTACTATTCTTTTACTTTTTCCTTGTATAAATAGAATGATACTTCTCTAAAAAGTAATCATAGTAAGAATAAGAAAAATCTAGGAATCACCTAAAAAACATCCCTTGTAACAAAATCTTCCTTTAAATATGTTTGGTTAAAAACCTCTCTTCTCTTTTGGTAATTCCATCTTCCTTTTTTCATAGTTAAATCTTTTAGCTTCATGCTTCTCTTCAAGCTATTCAAAGTTTGCAGTGATTCAAGTTGAGTATGCTCTGTAGTTGCCACATTATTATGGATCCTCTGCATAAAAAATTCTTGTTAATCTATTAAATAGATCATTAATCCCTTTCCTTCAGCCAAAGAAAAATTATACTACCCCAAAATCATACTAATAGTGAGTTACTATAGTGAAAGACATATCTCCATAAAAGTTAGGCTCTCAATTCGACGTTAAAGCTAAGAAGGCGCCAGAGTCTTGAACACCGACTAGAATACCTTGGTTATATGTCTGATCTATGAAACGCTTATGGTTGGTATTATCTTGTCAAGTTTGACTGATCTACATGCTGTTGTCATAGTACCAGATAGTATTGTCAGGACTCTACCACCCGAAGAGTCCAGAACTAAGGCTGTGTCAATTGCCAGAGCCTTGGCCGTACTACAATATTTGCACACACGCGAGTTGCACGTGACTTGGCTTTAGGGCAAAATGGCCATCGACGTCTACTTTTTAGGCCCTGGGGTCAAGTGTGGGAAAGGTAAAGAAAAGACAGTTTTTACTTGTTTTGGTAAAACGGCATCACCCTTTGATGTGGCCATGGCTTTTTCATGCCAAACGAGTTACTTTGATCATTCTCAACGTCCGTACGATTACACCTCATAAATAAGACGAAAAAACAAAAGGTCTCGTCCCCTTTATAGTAGATTTGTAATTCGTGTATTTTTATCATATAAAATATTAATATATTTATATTTTATTTTTAAAAAAATTACGCATCTCGTGTCAAACATGAAAATATTTTTTTTTAAGTTTATTAAATTTATTTATGATTTTTATTAAAATTTTAAATTTTATTATATTTATATTTTTTATTTGTATTATTTTCGTATTGTATCACGATATCATATTAAAAATTATTAGGTTTACTCTAAAGCCCTCTATATTTTCATTGTAGGACATTTTTTTTATAAGTTATAATTATAATTAAATATTATATTTATTTATACAAGAATTACTAAATAATCAAATAAATCAACTAATTAATAAACTAAAATATAATTAGATAAATTCAACGCACACATTAAACTTAAAATCTAAAACCTTAGGGTTTTAGGACATTCTCTTTATTACTAAACCAAGACTCATTAGCTCATTATAAGACATCCATTCAGTAATGTGTTTAAGCACGTTTTTTTTATTGATTTCGTGATAAGGATTTTGCTAATGAGTGTTTTAAGGGTATTTTTAAAATTAATTAAAATATAATTTATAATAATATTTTTATATTAAATACGGTACTTGATCAATAATGTTACGAATTTCATATATTAAAAAAATAAGTTACTTACTATAATAATCTTGAAGACTATCCTTAAGACACTCATTAAAAAAATTTATTATTGATTAATATAAAAAATTAAAAAAATAATTATAATTTTTAGCTTGACAAAAATGGTGAACTTCATTCATCCACGATGCAAGATTAACATGTTATACGAGAAATTAATGCAATTAGTATTACATTAGAAAAAGAAGCCAACTGTACAAAACAAAAATGAGAAACGAACAAAGGAGTTTAGAGTCAAACTTTCATAATTACTTTCCTAACTAAGTTCTTGTTTGGATTACACCACACCTTCGATATAATGCAATTAAATTTATTACACCTTCAGTTGAATGTAAATACAAATTCTAATGAAGTCAAGTAAGTATAAATTTTTCATTAAAATTTTATTTTCAATCATAACTACAATAATTTTTTTTCAATTGTAATTATAATAAATTTTATTATTTTTTTAATCTTAGTGCAATTAGTCTTACCGTCTATCCAAATGAAACCTAAATTGATTAAAATAGTTTTGCTGATGTAATGGTTTGTTTACTTATCTTTTGATAAAAAAATTATTTGTTTATAAGAAAATGACAATGCTAGGTCACAAATTTTCATTATTACTTATACATGCGATTTACTCATTGTTATAACCAAAGTCAAAAGAGAGAATATGTAAATATTATTGAATTATTTTATAATTAAATAAATTATAAAATTAGAGATGCTAGTTTCTTAATTAAATTGGTTAAAATAGTTTTGCTGATATACGATATGATTGTTTTTCAATCTTTTGATAAAAAATTATTTATTTATAAATAAAATGGCAATGCTAAATGATAATTCTTCTTTGTTACTTACAAATGAGATTCGGAAATTGCATCATTATAAATAGAGTCAAGAGGAAGGAAATGTAAATATTATTGAATCATTTTATAATATATTAATTAAATTATAAGATTAGCAATGCTATTTTCCTAATTAAATTGATTAAAATAGTTTTGATGATGTAATGGTGTGACTGTTTTTTTTATCTTTTGATAAAAAATTATTTGTTTATAAAAAAAAAATGGCAATGCTACATTAAAATTCTTCATTGTTACTTACAAATGAGCTAAATTCAAATAGAGTCAAGAGGGAGAAGATGTAAATATTATTTAATCATTTTATAATATATTAAATTATAAGATTAGCTATGCTATTTTCCTAACTAAATGGATTAAAATAGTTTTGTTGACAAAACAATATTATTGTTTTCTTATCAATTGATAAAAAAAATTATTTGTTAATGAAAAAATGGCAATGCTACATGGCAATTCTTGGTAATATAGTTGTATTCAAAATATACAAATAGTAATATACAGGTTAAAGGGTCAAAAATATCTTTAAACTATAATTCAATAATTATTTAAATTTTTAATATTTTATTACAATTAATTAACTATTAATTTTTATTTTGACTCAATTGAAGTTTTAGAGAGATATTAAAAAGGAAGGAATAAAAAAATAAAGAAAAAAATATTTTATTTTATTTTATTTTCATAAATATAATTGCTCAAGTGAGAAATTTTTATTTATTTTATTGATGTCATATAAAATTTTTTATCTTAATTGACAAAAAAATTTAATAATATTTATTTTTTATTCAAATAAAAATTTAATTGAATATAAATAAATATTGGAGAAATTGATTAATTATAATAAAAAAATTATATAATTTGTAATTATAATTCAAAGACTTTTTATATCCTTTTGCATAATATATAATAATGGTCATTTAATATCATATCGTATTTGGGTTGTCCTGGATATGTGAATTTGAGTGGGACCCTGTAAGGAAATTTTACAAAGTGGTATCTTTGTCAAAATCAAATTTCAAATGGATGCCAAGACATGATCGACTGATTGATGGCAACATATCCAAATTGGAGCGACGAATGTTAAGGAGGATCAGGAGGAGCAGTATTAGGGTATTAACACTGATAAAAAAAATGGCAACTTCCCTAACCAAAGAATGTGTGACCCAATGAAGGATGAGTTGTAAACCTTAAACCACTTGGTGGGTGACACATCATAAAGAGACATGGTGGAACCCATGGGATTTTGTGCATGTACTAGGAAGGGTACTTTCAACTAGGGCTTAGGTGAAGAGTGGGCTGCTTGCATTGGAGGGCAACCGCCTGTTTCGGATAATCAGCACTCAGGAAAGGGGCTCATGATACAAAAAGCTATGTTGTATATCTTTAAATGTAAAAGTACATCATTAATTAGAAAGAAAACCCAATAATCTGTTCATCTTACCCACTGTTTTTTGTTTGAAACTCCCCACTTTTTTCTTGCATTACCACACTTCCTTTAATTTCCAACTCCCCCTTCCATCACTATAAATATCGACCCCTGAATGCTTAATCGTTCGTGGGATTGAGAGTAATGAGATAGCAAGAGAGCCTCACCTAACAACAAAACACTTTCTTTTGACAGAGAGAAAGAGAGGGAATTACATCTATCTGCAATACACAAATGGCTCTTCACCTGTCTTGGGCTTTCGTTTTTGGCATTCTTGGTATAGAAATATTGATCATGTTATTATTAGCTTTAATGTACATTTCTAATATCTAATATTCCATGTTCGTTTTTCTTGTTTTAAGGCAACGTTGTTTCATTTTTGGTGTCCCTTGCTCCCCTGTAAGCCTCTTTGTCATCTTCTTTTTCTTTCTTTAGTGACTTTCAGCTTAAAATTTCATGTTTAATGATGATGTGATGCATACAATTTCCAGGCCAACATTTTACCAAATATACAAGAAGAAAACATCCGAAGGGTTCCAATCAATTCCCTACGTGGTTTCGCTCTTCAGTGCGATGCTTTGGATTTACTATGCTCTCTTGAAGAAGGATGCTATGCTTCTCATCACCATCAACACTTTCTGTTGTTTCATTCAGACTTTTTACATTGTTACTTACTTTTACTATGCTCCTAAGAAAGAAAAGGTATAATCTCCCTCATAGAATCATCAATTATTTCTCCTTGAAGTTCAGTATTCTAATTCAATTTCCAAATCGAGAAATTTCAGGTTGTGACTGTGAAGCTTATGCTCCTGTTTAATGTTTTTGGGTTTGGAGTAATCTTTTTCTCAACTTTCTTCCAACAAAACCCCTTGACTCGTCTCCAAATTCTTGGTTACATTTGCATGGCATTCTCTTTGAGTGTGTTTGCTGCACCTCTTGGCATTGTGGTGAGGATAAAATTGAACCACTTTATTTACAGATATCATATAATATATATTCATAATTCAAAAGTCACTGAATTTTAAGTTCTTCTACAGAGAAAAGTCATAAAAACCAAGAGCGTGGAGTACATGCCATTAACTTTATCAGTGTTCCTCACCTTAGGAGCGGTGATGTGGTTCTTCTATGGGCTTTTGTTAAAGGATATGAACATTGCTGTATGTAACCTCATTCTTCCTATAATCTTTTTGAATCTCCTATTCTCTTTATCTTCTTTTCTTTTCTAATCACTAAAGCAATAATAACTTTTAATTTTTTGTGTACAATATCGAATCAACAGGTTCCAAATGTACTTGGATTTATCTTTGGAATTCTTCAAATGATACTTTATGTAATCTACAAAAACTACCCACAAAAAGTGGTGGAAGATCCAACGCTTCAACTACCAGAACACATAGTAGTTGATGTTGTCAAACTAGACACGATGGTGTGCTCGGAGGTGAACGCTGTAGTTCCTAAACCAAACGACACAAACAACAATGGAGGATCAGTCGAAGCTCAAAACATTAAGGAAAACACTAAGGTTCCTGACGCTTCCAACGAAGTTTAAAAGTTGCATGGAAACAAAAATAAAATTAAATATATATTCAAGTGCGCACTTTAGGTCTGATAAATGGTCCAGTTGGATATGTCTTGGAAGCTAAGTGTAGCTTGGTTTGCATGGACAAAACTTTCGCAGCCATGCAAAATAAATTCCTCCAGTACTCCTTCAATTTCTGTCTCTCGGTCAAAACATCGATGAATCTTTATCTCTCCATCTCTCTTTTTCAAATCTTTTATTGTCTGTAACATGTAATGAGTTTTCTGTTAATGTTTTTATATTAATGAATGTCTATATTTTATAATCATGATGATGATGCTTTCTTTTTGACAGCTTTTTATTTTATTTTATTTTCTGTTTTACATCTATCGGATTTGATGCTTTTAAAAAGTTTGGTGAAATCAAAGTGTGTTTAAAATATTAATATGATGTTACACTAAATGGGAGGTAATTAATTTTTTGGATATACAATAGTTTTATTAACAAAAAAAATTTTGCTTTTAAAGCCTTTTGGAAAATAATTTGAGAAATCGTCAGCTGGCTCAATTTTTTTTTCTTTTTTATAAAAGAGGTTTTTATCTTAAAAAATGAAAAGGGATCATTAATATTAAATTTTGAATTTTAAATTTGATAGCTATTAGCATAAATTAAATTAACTAAATTTCGAATTTTCTTTTCCCAAGATTTTGACAAGTGACTTTAATTATCCATATCTCTTGGCCATTGATTTCTTCCTTTTTCTTATTTAATATAATTCAGATATAAAAGATAAATGTGGGTCTTAAACTTTTTTTTGTTAATTAAATTAAGAGTTTAACTTAATTGATTTATAACGTCGTTAATATTTAATAGATTTTAAATTCAAATTAAGTCCATTAAATTTCAAATCTTCTTTTCCCTAGTTTTTGACAAGTGACTTTAATTATCCATATCTCTTGGCCATTGATTTCTTCCTTTTTTTTTTTTTTTATTTAACATAGTTTAGAGATAAAAGATAAATTTAGGCCTTGAATTTTTTTTTTTTTGATAATTAAATTCAGAATTTAACTTAATTGATTTATACCATCATTGATATTTAATAGATTTTATATTCAAATTCTAGCATTTACAACTTTTTTTTTATTCTCAGATTATGATATACTTTATTAAAAAAAAACTTAAAACCTTTTTATTGTCGTATCCAATAAAATAAATTTTCCATGAGATTCATTAACTACATAAAAAAATTCAAGAAATATAATTTTTTTTTCAATTTCCTTTTCCTTTCTGTTAACCAATTTTTTTTTAAATTTATTGGACTTGAGCTGTAGGTATTATTTCTTTTCCAAAGGTAAAAGGTTTTTAATTAGAGCAGCTGTGTGAATCAAGATTGTTAATCTAATTTCGATACTGGTGGTATGACTGATATATTTCAATTATACCAAACTTTGAATCTTAAAGCTTTGATTAAGAAAAAAGCACTTAATTAAATAATATACCTAAACCCTTTAATTAATTTCGGCCATATAAAAACCCTTTAATTAATTGTTAATTTCGGCCGTATGAAAAACCCTTTGAATCTTAAAGCTTTGATTAAGAAAAAAGCACTTAATTAAATAATATACCTAAACCCTTTAATTAATTTCGGCCATATAAAAACCCTTTAATTAATTATTAATTTCGGCCGCATGAAAAACCCTTTAATCACTTTACCACAAAGTTATACTTATGCTAATTGGGTTTTGCCATTTTTGATAAATGCATCCAATTCAAGTCATGATGTTTTAATTATTAAAGAAAACAAGAAGCGACCTGGAAAAGTAGCATAGAATCAAATGGTAACCATTTTGTATGAAAAGCAATTAAAGTTGTTTTTCTTTCACAAAGAAAGAAGTGGCCACCTCCCATATCGAACCTGAAGAAGGTAACGCAATGCCCAAAATGAGCAAAACACCCAAAGTGGATAATAAAAAAGTCTCAAGTTCTAAATGGAATCTTTGCAACTAGAAATTCAACTGATTCTATGTATTTTTTTAATTTTTGATCAGGAAATGGAAATTCATGAGCCAAAGCTTGCTTTCACTAGTGCTATTTGATTGCTAATAACAACAACAATTTCTGGTTCCTAAAATGGGATATGTGAAGAGCAAGAATAAAAGGTTGCATGGCATTTTCTCAATGCAGGCCAATCCGCCCTTCATACTCCATCATTTCAATTTACCACTTTTAGTATTGGCTCTTCCACATAGTGAATGAACATTCAATGAGCTAAAGAAGTTTCCTTTCTTTTCTTATTATTATTATTATTATTATTATTATTATTATTTGTTTGATAATACGGTCAGACATATTTTTAAGTTTTGTTTGGATTTAATTTTTTAACGCACTCTTTGACTCTTTTACATTGATTTAATATATTTAAAATTTTACTTTCAAAATATTTCTCACAAAAATCGAATTTTGGATGACAAGAAATTAAAGGCTTTTCCCTTACCAACCGCCTAGTAGACTTTTCCTTATTATTATTATTGACTTATTATTTGTTTTTGTTTGTTTCAAATGTTGCATTTAAGGCCCACAAACAAGATCAATGCCTCACTCTTTAGCTTATTTCGCTAATGCTAAACTGAGCACTTCCAAGCATATGGTATAATTACTCATTGTCTTCAGTTTCGGATTTTCCTCCGAGATCCCAGTGCTCCGCACTTGAATGATTAATGCCAAAACAAACGAGATTCATAGGCACTAAAATATTCAAGTAAATTTCAGGACTCTACCAATAGATTACATGACTATTAACTACTGTTAGTTAATATATAAATATGCATATTTATTCAATAGGATAAGTAAAAAGGACAGGTAGGCATAAAATATAATAAGACATTTATTTAGGGTAACTTTCTTTGGCCAAGCTGATCATCCCACTAACCACATTTTGCCAATCTGAAGTTAGAACCTTCTGAATTGATTCTTCGATTCCTGAAGGTTTTTTTTGTAAAGAAGTACCTTTACAAACAAAGATCAAACAAGGAATGACTGACAGCCTCCCAAATCTAAATAGTGGAGAATCTCAGATTCTAGACATAGTGTCCAGTGACATCGAAAGTAGAGTATCAAGTTGGTCTAAATGGCCCACCATACATCAGTTCTACTTCTAGGCTTGCATGGTGAAAAGAAAAACGTTTGGGGGAGGGGATTTGAACATTCTAGAGAAAATGATTTGTCGAATTTTTCATGAAAATGCACTGAGTTTTTAAGGCAATTTTCATGCAAGTAGGAACATTTTTCTTGCCAAGGCAGTCTTGGTTTAGTTTAGTAATTATATCAATTTGTTTCTGTCTAATGAATAATTGAAAGAATTGGGTCTCATTGCTTCAACAATTTTAGCACTTTTAGATTCCCAATTAAGCTTACAGTCCGGATTGAATGGTGTCCCTACACCTACACCTACAGTTGACAGCTGAGTGGAGAGTGGGGAATGTGCTGTAACAACAGGTAGCATGGCGATCCCAGTTGATGAAATGTTTCTCTTTTGCATTGAGATTAATGTGCTTACGAAATATTTAGCTTTTGCACTTTTTAGTTTTTTCTTTTATGTAAAGAAAAGGTATCACAGGTACTAACATTCGAATCTCAAATTTACTAAATATCATTTTTAAATATATATAATGGCTAATGATTGATGAGGATAAGAAAGAAATTTAAAAATTTTTCGTGTTTAGATTTAAGTCTTGTTATGTGGAGATTTGATTCAATTTTAAATTAATTTTTTAAGTAATTAAATTTGCCAAACTCAGCAATTACGATACATATGTTCTTATCTTCCACAATATTGCTATCTAGCTACCTCAGCAAAGTCAAGTCCTAATGACACATTTTCCTTTATATGATGAGTGATGACTCAAGGATAGACTAAGAGGCACG